GTTTTGCTTTAGTAGATATGATTCTATATAGAACTACAATGAAATAAATGAATAAACAACTGTCTTTTCTGTGCCCAGATTTTGTTACCTTGAGTACTGCCTTCTACTAGAAGTTTTTTTGGTTCAGGTTTGCAAGTTTGGTTAATTGATCTAGGAAGGTTTGATTCAGGCCCGCTGTTATTGATTAGAATCTTAGGAAAAGGAGTTAGTACCATCACCATCTCTGTTTGCAAATCCAATCAATAATCTGAGGTTATGATAATAATTGTTGTTTTTTTGTACTCTTTGACTTTTCATTTCCATCATGTCATTGAACAGCTGTTTTGTCTAGGCGTTTTCTTTAGACCTGTTCTACCTTTTGAAATATGTTCTATAGGCACTTTTCAACGTTCACCAGTCATTTTTTACACAACCGATTCTCAGTTCGTACTTTTGGGGTGAAACTGAACACGTCCTTTTCTATAATTTTCTTCAATGTCAAAATTAGAAGTTTGACAGATGAAAGTCTTCATCCGAAATCTAAATGAAGAATCTGCCCCTTTTGATCTGCGACCTCACGCTGAGTAGTCGTCCGGTCTCGGGCCTCGGCCCTAATTATTTTTGGGGCGAGACTTTTTGGAATTTTGTGCCAGGGAGCTCAAGTTTTAGACTAATTTCTTGCTGATAATTGTCTAGAGTCGTCCCTTGGTCATTTTTGGATTCTGTTTCGGTAAGTTTGAGATTTTCTTCAGGAAATATTAACCTACAACACGTGTTCCATTTTTTTAATAGGACTGTTTTGAGCAGCATTTGGAAGTTTAAGACTTCACCTAGAGTCTAGAGTCTAGAGTATCCCTCAATTTGAGGTAAGATTATTTCTAATATTTGGGGCTCGATTTGTTTTTTTATACGAACATCGTTATAGGGTCCTAGTCTCAGGCTATAGTTGGACAATCCTACTCTTAGGCTATAGTTGGACAATCCTAGTCTCAGGCTATAGTTGGACAATCCTACTCTTAGGCTATAGTTAGACAATCCTAGTGCTAGGCTGTAGCTAGACAGTCTTAGGCTATAGTTGGACAGTTGCTAAGCTGTAGTTAGAGAGATTCTAGACTGGATCTAGATTGCTCTCAGTTGGGGCTTTGGTAGCCTTTCTTCAGCAACTCTCTTGGTACCACTCTGGCAGAACCACGTCGAGTTCTACGTTAAACAGATACAACGTGGATAGGACTCATGACTCACTTACCATACCATAGTCTATCTAATAGTGAGGCCAAACCTGTAGATAACCTCACTTTGGAAATTTCTGGATTTTCACATACATTTCACTTGTATACATGTAAGTTGCACTTTTACTATTTAGGCAAATCATATATAAATCATCTGACGCCGAATTACGTCAGTATGTGCCCCTTAAATAAAATTCTAGAATTTTACCCTGAGGTTGCCTAAAGAATAACTTTCACCTTTCTGTGTTTAATTTGCCTGTTGGTAAAGTGTAACCCATACTGTTCTTTTAATCTTTCACAAGTGTTAATAAACAGTTAAAACTGTTTATTTTAAATTCATATATTCATTATTTACATTTTTTTATTGTAATTTATATTCATAAAATCTAAATAGTAAATTGTGATTAATTGATATACGTATGTGTTCAATCGAATCATAATAAATTAATAATATAATGTAACCAAAAAAAAGAATCGCAATAATATAATAATATCATTTTGTGATGTTGTTTTTAAAATATTTATATAATAAATATTTATAACAAAAATAAAATTTTTACAATAAAATGTGAGTGAGTGAATCTATGTCTAACAAAACATTAAACTTACTGCACATACAAATTAAATCATTTAAGTTATAAAAGAAAACAGTTATGTAAAATTTGTAGATTTTGAATAAATCATTGGTTACTTTTTTTTTTCATGTACTTTTTTGTTACAAAAATGTAGGTAAACACAAAAACTGAAACTTACTTATACTATACTAATATTATAACATTTTTTGGCGAAACATTCTATACCTATCTTATAGTTACAACCATTTTTTTTTAATAAGTTTTCTCAATCGGAGGTAATTCTAATCGACAGGTTAGACACTAAACATGAATATCTCTCCCAACCAAAATTTGAACATTGATTCGTCACATTGTTGAAGTGTAGTCGCTTCAATGGACCCAACCCAAATAATACTATAAAGACTATTAACTTTGAAACACATTTAAACAATATATTGTTTATTAAAGAAATACGTCAACTCCTTGTATTGTTTGCATTATATTTAAACATTAGATTGTAGTTTGGGGAGTAAGCAACCTACACATCAGATTTTACCAAAACACCATATTAGACATAAAATTATATATGAATCATTCTTTTCTTGCATTGCCTTGATTCTGTCACTTAAGATGGTATGGATTTTGTTTAGTAGAACAAATATCCCACTAGTCTAAGTTCTCTTTTCATTTCATCAAATTGTTGTTAGACTAATTGCAAGAAGAGATTACATCTCTGCAACCAATATTTCCTCATCAGCTCCAGATTTGGAAAGGGTTCCCCGAGTCCACTTCTTCAGCATTTGTAAAGAAGCTTTGGGCTGGTCCATTGGAACCATATGACCAGCATCACGAACCTGTTTTTTGTTACACAAATATCAAACTGAGTCAGGATTTACCAATATATGTGGAAATTTGGTAGTAGATGAATTATAGACACGGTCTAGATTACATCTAAAAGACAAAGTTCTTATAATTACATGTGTAGCAACAACAATAAGAACCAAGTCTTATCCCACTAAAATGAGTCGTTTTTATAAACACATGTGGTTATAAAAAAGTTAAACAAAAGAGTTTCTGAAAAATTAAGATGCAGAAACTATTTTGAACTTATATACGAGATGCCATCATTTGAATTACAAGGTTATTTCAATATTTAATTCTCCACAAATACTTGATGAAAAGTTTATCCAAACTAGCTCTAATATGTATTTCTTATAATGTTGATGGATAGCTTACACATCAATGATAGCTTTCTATTTGATTTTGGAAGACAATCATACATATGTACCTACCTATATATGGGTGTGTTCATTCGAGATTAGAGTTATGTAATGTTTTTGATCGGGCTTTGCCCTCTTTTTGCACCAAAAGAAAAGGAAGAGTTATATAATGTTTTCATAGTACAAGATGGGTGGGCGAGCAAGAGAATGATACCTTTAGGAAACTAAGAGGTCCATAATTCTTCAATACTCCAGCTTCTGAGTCATCAACTGTGAAAGGAACTTCGGGTGAGGCTGCAAATTCTTTCTGGCCAGACCATTCCATGGCATGAACCCATCTCGAATTACCTATTCGTTGAATTCATATTACCGGGAAAAAAAAATCATCAATACCCCTTAAAGGTCCAAGTATGAAATGTTATAGTTCAAAACAGATCTAAAATCTGGCCAAGCATAAATACATACCAAGCCAGTTGCAGATGAGATCATATTCCCCAGCATAAACAAGCAAGCTGATTCCATCCTCAAGCAGGGCAGGAATACCGACTTCAAGATTCCTCATCCAATCCACTAGCATAGCCTGATAAACTGTAGAACTACACGATACAAAATCAATATCACCAACCCCTAGCGCCTTCCGAACAGATCCTTGGTTTAGGAACTTCTCCATGTTTGAAAAATCATAGCAAAGATTCCCTTCACACTTCTTTCGGATGTCATAGTACTGCACCACAAGTTAATAATTGCTGGTCAAAATTTTAAATATGGAACATCCATGTTCTTTCAAGACTTCACATTCTCCATAAATGTCAAGACAAATGCCTAATAGTTTAAATATTAAGCAGCAACATAAAAAGCTTTTTCAACATTTGCTAAAAACAATTATCATTTAAAATTAAAATATCCCCCACTAAGAAAGTGTCAAAGGAAGACAATTTATATTGCGGGACAATGTTTCACATGTTTAACCATGTTAAACATAACCTGATAAACCTGTTACTACAACATAATATGGTGTGTGGGGGACTATTTTTTCCAAAAGAAATTATTTTGGGAAGCAAAGCAAAAAGTGACAGACAACAACAATTTGTTCAAGACAATTAAACTCTTCTTCACTTCTCACTTAACAACAAAAAGCTTTTTAGGAAGAGTGATTCTTTAACACAGGATCAGAATTTCTATGAAGTCTGCAAATAAGCCTGTAATTTAGATCATGCTTCAGCTTGTGTCATATAATTAATTATTAGCTATTGATGGCTTGCAACTATCAACTTACGCTTAATTAACAAAATAAAGTACTACGACATGTAAACCACGCAGAAAATTAAGTAACTGAGTTACTCACATTGATATCACCAGCATGTGACATGATGGAATTGAATATAGTATTACAAACAAAATATGAAGCTGTGCATGCGATTTTTCCATCTGTGCCTGAAAGGATTAAAACAAGTATTAAGAAGAAACATAACAAAAGCTAGTTAGTTTACTATGAGAGTGAAGCAGAGACTTCTAGTCCTTCGATGTTTCAATTACATGAATAATCAGGATAGTAAAAATTACTATAAGGTGCCATGATGACTGGAAATAGTAAACCAATTCATTTAACTATAATACGGTACAAGTAAAATTTTGTAAGAAATTCATATAATGTCAAATAGATTACAATATAAGAATAGCAATATGCATTTAATATTAAGATAAATATGTATTTATATGATAAGACACGTTAAATTATATATAGGTCATATATGCAGTTTAAATAAAATAACTGTACTAAGTTATAAATTACTTAAAAAAAATAGCAAGCCTGAGCATGAATTGAACCTTATGATTGATCCATTATAAAAACCTATGTTCAGATTCAAATTTAAAAATTGGATATTTGGAACTGAGCAAGGAGGCCGAACTCAACATACATTCATTTCAAAGAAAGAAAGAAATACTCCAATGCATGAGTTTGTTCCTTTCAATAAGAACCTTAGTTTCCAGCATACAAATATCAGAAGAAATGTTACATTGATTGAAAGGATAAATGACACAACATCACGTGTAAATTACCACATAATTTGATTGCCAATTCACAGGCTGGAACCATCACTTTGTTGATGCGGTCATAGTCAGCCTGTTTAATTACACCCATGTCTAGTGCATAATCTGCGTAAGCTTTATACTGAATTGCAGGATCAGTGAGCCCATTACCAATGGCAAATCCCTGTTCAACCATTTCAAATAAGATAAACAACCCTTCAATATGTATCTCAAATATGAATAGCTGAGAATGTAACAAACCTTCAAGTTTATATGAATTCCTTCTTTAGCTTTGTTTCCCTTGTGCACACGAGCAGCAAAAGCCGGAATATAATGACCGGCATATGATTCACCCGTGATAAAAAAGTCATTTGAAGCATACTCGGGATGTTCACCAAAGAAGGCCTGTAGGGAAAAGAAAAAACATGTTATCTCAAGATATCACATGTGAAGCTCAGCAAGGTGCTCTTATCCAATATAACGATAACTAAGAAATAATATGTTTTGCATTTCAAAGAACAGCGACCAAGAAATGTAAGGATAGGAAAAACAAGTTTGTAAATACAAACTCCTGTTTGCAAAACAATAAATATAAGTCAAGTATATCATATTAAATTTCTGTTTGGATTACTTGTTTGACCTCATCTACTAAAAATAAGCACTTGTGCGACTGTTTGAGATAACTTATGAAAACAACTTATAACATGTCCAAAAGTTGTTTTCGACTTATATGAAAATTGCTTGACTTTATTTTATTTTTTGTTATAAAAATAACCTATACATAAGCACTAATATGTTAAGCGTTTATGCTAATAAAAAAGGGCCAATGCACCGATGTTTTGTATAGCTAACATAACACTTGGAGAAAATACAAGTACCTGTAAAAAGTCATAGAGGTCATTGCTGACACCGTCTTCATCATGACGAATATCACGCTGATCAGTAGTGTAACTGAATCCAGTTCCAGTTGGTTGGTCAACATATAGTAGGTTAGATACCTACAAGGTTACCAACCAATTAGTTATGTCCAATAAATACTAATCACAAGAAACCAAGACCATAGGAAAAACAGTTAATTGAATGACACAACACAAATAAAAAACAAATACAACAATATATACCTTGTCCCAACCAAATTCATTCCATACAAGGGACAAATTGTTAGCAATTTTGAAAGGGCCATTTTCATAAAACACAGCCAATTCACTGCTACAGCCAGGTCCACCTGTCAACCATATCACAACAGGATCCTTCTTGTTTTTCCGGGATTCAAAGAAAAAGTAGAACATCCTGCACATAAACAACCAAACCATAGTAATAAAAGTTAAATTTGTATACACTCTCAGCAAATCACAACCAATCAAATGAACGGTTTTGAAAGAAATTATGAATAAAGTTAAACGTTTATAATGATCTAACAACTATGATTGATTGATAATGTAAGAAGCACGGGTACTCCATTTTGCTAAACGTACCCGTACCGGGTACTGCGCGGGTACTGGTACACGTACTGTACGCGTACTGTACGCACCCATGAAGCACCAGGTTTTTTTTTAATGGTTGGGTACGGACGGGGTACTACAGTGGTACTGATTGGGTACGTTTATCCTCTTTTTTTGGAGAAAATGGAGCAATTATAGTTTTTTTTTTGTTTTTTTATAAAAGTCAAACATAACTCCACGCACATCCTCTTTTTTTTTTTTTGAGAAAAACAAGCCCTATTATGAGAATTAATAGCATTGAAGCTAGTCATTTTACAGAAGATGAGGAAGGAAATAGTGATAACGACACAGTTGGAGTGTGATTTTTCCTATTCATGCATAGTTATTAAGTTTTATCCCGTACTTTAGTTTTTCAATTTGGATGTTTTAGCGTTGTATTTTTTTTTTTGGTCGTCATATGAGCAATATAATTTTCTCATGCAATGTTATTTATTTTAAATTAAAAAAAAATTATCGTAACGTACCCGTACCTTTGTTTTTTGAGAAATGCCGTATCCCGTACCCGCACCCGTACCCGTACCGGGTACCGTACCCGCACCCGTGCAACACAGTGTAAAACATCTTAAGTAAACTACCAATTCACTGCTTGAAATTGTAGGGGTCGGACATTTACACCTCTTACATTTGCGATAAAAATGTAACTAATTTGACTGTAAATTAGATACAAACTAGCAGAAGTACCAAGTTGCTCAACATAATTCAAAATAAGAGTGTATTTAATTTCAAGGTGTAAATAAATACTCAAAACATTTTATAAAACATCTTTACATTGAATAAAATCCATAAATATATTATTATATACACAAATTATCTTAGTTCTCCAACATTCCTATTCGACAAAACGACAGAGAGAAAATTAAACAATTAAATTCAATGAAGACAAATCCCAGGGCCAGTTAGAGAACATAATCTATATTTATTTTAATGATTCACTCAATAAAGCAATACTTTAAGCAATTACTAAATAAATAAATAAACGAAACAAAAAGAGTTACAAAAAAAAGAATTAAAATTGAAAATGAGAAAGAGAGAAAAAAATGGAATATGAATTACTTAGCGGCATGAGAGTGTTGAATGGGATAATATCCAGCACGATGAGCCAAGTCATCAATGGAAACTCCATCTTCGTCTTTGCCGGAGAAATTCGGAAACCTAAGCGGCTTCTCAACGATGATCTTGTTGTTGCTGTTCTGATTCTCCTCCACATTGGGTTTGGTGTCGAGGATGTTGATATCGTGAGGAGGGAAGAGGTTGAGGTTTCTAATTAGATTCTTCGCAATCTCATCGTTGATGGTAGCGGCGGAGGATGACAGTGGGGACCACAGGAGAAGCACAACCGCAAGAGAGAACCACAACGTCGTCGTCTTCATCGTGATGTTGCTTTGCGTGCAAATGAAAAAATGAAAAATGCAGAGAAAGAGAGAGTGGGGGAAAAGGTGGTTACGATGGTGTTTGTTGTTTACTTAAGATCCAATTTTTCACGACACGTGTCATAACAAGGAGAAGCAAGAACGGTTAGTTACTCTACTTCTGTCAGACTCAAGACTCACTCATACATCATCTCTCTTGAGTGAGTCCAGGGGTTTAATAGTAATTTTGCCTTTATTTTCTCTTTAACAAGAATTTTTTCTTCTTTTTAAATAAAGGGTGACACACTGTGGTTGGTTGGCCAATGTCATAGGCACTATATAATTATAGATTTTAAAAGAGTATTACTTTTTCCATCTTACTGCCTTCTCGCGCGCCATGTAAAAATTCCAAAAATACCCCTGGTTTGGATTATGTTTTCCGAACCAGATTGTTAGTTACTCCCTCCAGTCACTATTATAAGCAAAAATTGACTTTTTAGATTCATTCATTAAATGATGTATTTGGTCAATAATATGGACCAAATACATCATTTAATGAATGAACCTAAAAAGTTGACTTTTGCTTATAATAGTGACCGGAGGGAGTACTTCCGGAACATAAATTCCGGACCAGATGTTGTGCGCTTTTTTGTGTCTTTCTTCGATGTCAAGGGTCTCTGTTGACCGTTATATGAACCCCACACAAGCTGAAATGCTATTGCAGGGTTCATATGAACGGTCAACAATGACCATGACACCACCGACACCCCTAAAAAACTAAAAACATTTGAAGAAATTTGAAGAAAAGAGATGAAGAGATTTCCGGAAAATTAAATCCGAACAAAAACGATATGAATATTTTGGGTCTTTCTTTGATATCAAGGGTCTCTGTTGACCGTTATATGAACCCCACACAAGCTGAAATGCAATTGCAGGGTTCATAGGAACGGTCAACAATGACCATGACACCACAAACACTCCTACGAAACTTAAAAAATTTGAAGAGAATTGAAGAAAAGAGGTGGAGTGAAGAATGAAGGTATTTGTTGAAGATGGATGCCTATTTATAGCCTAAAAAAAGTCCTAGGTCATTAATACAGTCAATGAAAACGTGTTAGTGGTTGTAACCGTCCAAACCCACATTGATGGCTCTCTTTCAAAAGTGCTGAATCATTCCGGATTATACATTCCGGGATGTCCTTAGCCCTACAAAGAAGTGCCAACTTTTCCCTCGTTCACCATAATTGCATTAATCTGGAAAGTATATTCCGGAAACCAAAGGTGCATTCCGGATTTTATATTCCGGAACGCCTCAGTGCCATGGCCGGTGGTCTGCACCACACGTTTTTTGACAGTGGTCAAGTAAAAAAAAACGTGTTTTACCACGTTTTTTGACTGCATTTATGGCTTCCCAACCATTTTTCACCCACCCCTCCCTATAAATACCCTTCCAAACCCCACCATTTCTCACACCATCCCTCTTCTCCTCTTCTTCCTTCTACAACCATGGTTTTCCATCGTTGGCCTTTCATAGATAAGGGTCTCGTTGAAAACTTTCAGGGTTTGTATGAACGGTCAATGAGGATGGAACCGCGCTGCAACGAAGGGCGGTTCATCTGAGGGTCATGTGGGTCAGTGTGGTTATTAGCTTCGCCTGTATGGGCGTAAGTCTGAGCACCCCCCCACCTCCCTCAGGGGCATTTGTTTCTTCTTCCCGCCCTCCCCCTTCCCCCTCCTCCGGTTTTCCTCCAATAGCCAAGCTACTGCTATGTCCGATCACATAGCAGTGGTTAGGCTCTTAGGAGATTAGAAATAGATTTAGGATCTTATGTAATAAGCTTAAAAAGCTTGAAAATTATTGTAATGTATTGTTCATATATTAATAAAATGAGTTGTTTTTATGTTTGTGTCGTTTTATTTCTGTTTTTTTATTTTATTCGCATTTTATTTTACGAATTGTAGAGCTTAAAATTGCAAAAGTTCTGCTAAAATACTATTCCGGATTTTAAAATCCGAAAATCACTGAAGAATACTAACAATCCATTCCGGAATACGAAATCCGGATCAGGGGTAAAATTGGAAAAAAATAGGGCGCGCGAGGAAAGACATAGGGTGGGAAAAGTAATTCCCATTTTAAAATCCCACCCATTTGGTGGAATTTAGTATGAGAAAGGGAAGTTGTTTCCCACCATGGGAAAGCTAATTTTAACCATTAGATAAAATAGAGAACATGCTTTTGACATAGACACTCAGCACCAGATTTTTTACCCACACTCACCACTCAGCAACGTACGGCTGCTGCTCCAACTCCGAATCTTCTTCAGGAGAGAGAACATTAATTATTTCATCTTCTTCAAAAAAAAAAAATCTGGAATTTCTTTAACTTTACTGTGCAATCTCTTTATTTTTGTTGTGATAATTAATATACACCCACCCCGCCCCACCATTACCATCGATTAATTTTTGTTCCTTAAGACCTCAAGAATCATATCTATATCTGCTGAATGGTGTTTATCCATTGAAGAATTTTTGTGGTGAGAAATTTAATAATAACCTAAAATTTGGTATTGTTCAACTTGATGAAAAATGTTATCCAAATAACATGATTAATTATTTGTTCTATCTTCAAAACACAAACACTTCGTTATTGTCGAAAAGAACAGATCAACATAAATTTTTCAGTCAACAAAAACACAGAAAGGTAATCCGATGGTGGAGGAAAGACAAAACACAACACAAAAACACTTGGTTTGTTGGGGAAGAGAAGCTATTCTTGGCTTGTTTTGTCTTTGAAAGCTTTTGAGAAAGAACCGTAGACACAGGAATGAGAGAAAGAAAGAGTTGGGACAGCTGCAACCTGCACGTGATGGGTGAGTGTGGGTAAAAAATCTGGTGTTGAGTGTCTATGGTAAAAGCATGTTCTCTATTTTATCTAATGGTTAAAATTAGCTTTCCCATGGTGGGAAACAACTTCCCTTTCCCATACTAAATCCCACCCATGTATTTGGGCATTTTTGTTGTCAACATCTTATTTTCACTTATTCTATAAACAAAAAATCACTCTTTTAAAACTGAGAATTTCCTTTAGACCTACTATATTCAGAGAATACCTTCTTTTATAGATTGGTTTAAGTGCTTTTCTTTCGGTCACTGTTGTTTTAAGCTGCTTAGGGTGCAGTATTTTTTTTTTTTTTTTTTGACGTTAGGTAAATGAGGGGTTAGGTTGTATGGCAAGAAATTTTCCGGACAATAAAGTGTTTGGAGTTTGGTAAATATAGGCTCTGTTTGACAAGGTCAAAAATCGAGTTTAAACTTATAGCAGATAGCTTATAAGCTCGTCTGACAAAAAAAAACTCTGTTTAGTAACGGTTTTTTACAACGAGCTTATAGCTTATTTCACGAGTTTATAAGTTATTTTTCAGACGCTATTCCAAATAGCGTTTGAGCTTATAGCTTATATCTTATCATTTTTTGTCTCATTTTTACCCTTATCACTTTAACAAAAATCCATATTTACTCTTTGTAATAAATAACCACGTTCAAGAAAAACATGTTACTTTTAATCCCAGATTTTACTTTAACTAAATATATGCTCACGCTTTTATTTTTT